ACCTTATGGTTGCCCTCTAATCAAAGATTTAAAATGCTCGCAAACTTTTAATCACCGGTGCCTTCAAGTTGTACCAGGTTGCAGCATGTATACAACTAAATAACGAGTAAACTACCCTCATTAACGTAGCGGTGTCGGGTATGGGCTACTTTTTAGCCAAATTGTGGTGCCGATCTTATAACATTACGAAGAGTTGCATTCATTTAATGTCTTTCGAACAACTCTGGTTCTGCGTAGCTTATTCCGAGCTACCAGTACTGTACTTGCAACTCACTTGACTGTACTGTACCGACTCCAAAGCTATCATTTTTTGTAGAAGCTTACTCGTCGTTGTTTCTTCATTATCGCCACGCGTTGCAGTTGTTTTCAGAAGGTGCGTTTGCTTTCGGAATGAACTTTATGGGATTCAGCTACTGGAAGAACGGGCACACACAGAGGTGAATGAACTTCTCTGGTTTACTCGGAACAGGAGTGCAGAAATCTTGGCTTGTATTTTCAGCTGTGTCGCGGATTTCACTCAACTTTATACTACTGGTTTTCCGAAGTGCCACACGTTGCTGGATCATTCAAATTTTATCAGTTGTGCTCGTTCGGTCCCGTTCTTTGCTTATCAGTCGACCATATTTGTGGACAAAGTTGGTACACCTAAAATCGGGCGGGGATTGTAGAGAGTACATGCATAATATACGGGTTTTCTATTGCCAATACTATTTATTCCTATGAATAAGAAGTTTTCCAATTCGTAATGGTCAATTTGCGCATCGGTATTGACGAACAAATCGCGAAGTCAGTGTTTTGTTTCTGTAGGAGATCAATTTATGAATGTAGTGAAATTTTTCAAAGTCGGAAGTGTAAAAATAGCTTAGAATATCAGGGTGAACACGATTCCCTCAATCCCGTTGTACCTTAAAACTCTCGTGACACTGATTGGTGATAATGCGAGCCAACAGTGTAAATGGCTATTGCTGTTCATCGAGCCATGCTCAACTACATCACACCATACTGCCACCTTATCGAACCATTTTTCTGTCAATCTGATCGCACTTGGTCGTTACTATCGGGTAAAGAGATTATGTTATCCTGAGGGTTAAAGCTTTGAACGTGGTAAAATTCTGCAGAAGTTACTGGAAATAGCCATAATTCCTAATTTTGTGGTGAGCCACAGTAATATTTTTGTCTGTTTTTTTTTGAATCAGTGCGCAGTGCTTATTCAGCCACCCATATTTCTAAACGGATATTCTATGCAAGTAAAAACCCTTTGAGTTTTCTGTCGATTTTTGTGCGAAGGCGATCTGGTTATTCATTAATTCCTTCACCAATAAAACCGTGCTTCGACATGACAAAGCGAAGCATGATTGTTACCTTGCTGCTTCTGTCCAACTATGGTCACCAGACATGAACCGATAGTGTCCTTCTATCTTGCTACTCTTGGAAGGTTTCATTATCCAGCATGAGGAGGGGATTCGCACAGTTTTCATTTTCTGTATTGTACGGTGACAGCACTGAACCCATTTAGTCGAGTTCGGGTCAGATAGTAGGGCTTGCAACAATAATGTCAAGGCACCCAGCCTTCTGGGTTATTCGCCAAAATTTCCTGATGTTTTGTTCACTCGCTCTCATTCATGTTGATATAACTATCGTTTAGCATCACACAATGTGGCTTTTGTGTGGCTTCTGTCCCATTTGGAAATACTACCCTAACTACTGATGTATTCGTCATGTGACGCACATGTTGCAGGTGTAACATATGGTTTAGTGTGAAATGCCACGCAGCTAAAGCTGAATAACTGTGCCAGAATTTTTCGTCACAGGTCAACGTCAGTTGCTTAGTTTCCTGTTTATGTGCAAGTAAAGCCCGTGGCCGACTGCTGGCGTTGATAAATAAGCTTCATGCGGCTCTCCGTGATTGGTTGGGAACTGCACTAGGTAGGGCTCCGTTCCGGCCTCTATGCTGATTGGTTTTCGGAGGCTGGTCTTCACTCTTAGTTCGCACGCCAAACAACCTAGTTGTGTGGTAGTGAAGCGTCAGAGTAGTTATGAATGGTACCGATATTTCGCGAATAATGACGCTAACAATCTGGCTGGAAAGTTGTTCATTCTACTGTGAACTATCATTATGAGACGATATGTACGTTTGTCTGTCCTAGTTTCAGTGTTTTTAACTTTAAACCAACCTTCAGAGAGCAGTACTCTTGATCCAAGTTGAATGCTAACTTGGTGAGTTGTAAACATAGGTTAAAGGAGACTTCTAATTAGCATTATCTACCCTTTGCATCGGTGAGTTCATCCATCATTTGACTATCTGATTGCGTTGCCAAAGCTTCGCGCAGCACAGAACTGAGGTTGTGTACTTTTCATGAATCCTTTCTGTTATGCCGGTCAATCAATCAAGTGTTCACCTACGAACCGTTTACTGAGGTACAGAAATTCTAGATTCTATAGTTACATTTATTTGTGATCAGAGATATAGAGGGAACAGCTTACACAACTCCAGTTGTGTGTCACGCTGAAAATATAGCAACTTGCTTTTAGTTTGAATGCGGATAATTACAGAGAGTTCTCGCGGTCACCGGATACACGACTGTGTCCTACATATCAGTGTCTGTTACCACTACTTTGTACCGTCCTCAGCTATTCTACAAGTTTTCACATGGCTTCCATGCTTTCATCCAAATCATCAGCTACCCGTCTTTGGATCAGCACACTCCTATAGATGGTCTTTAGGTGCATGGTACTTTAGATTCAAACGATGTAGTCTAACCAGCCTAAGCTCCAAGTTGTGACTAACCTTTTTGTTTAGATAAATGTTTTCATCGTGCGCTGTTGACCACCTGCTATACGTGGACGCTGTTTGATTGACATTGATATAGAATATTCAATGCCCTAATTCATCATGTCCATTTCCCACCCCGTTCCTTGAACTCGGATGGACTATGCCGTTATTGACTGACAAGCTCGTGCCACGTGAATACCGTGGGTGCCAGGCCGACAAAACGACATTTCAGAAATTGTTGATTGTACGGTACCTGTCTGGACTAATTCCGCTTCATCTTATCAAGTACATATTGGAAAAAAGACAAGGTGTGACACACATTGACCTTCTTGAAAGAATGTTTTCATCACCTGTCAGCCCATACCGACTAAAGCAACTGCCCAAGTAATTGCTTTTTTCGATCACATTGACTAGCTGTTACTCGAATATGCGGTTCGGGTTTGATGCTACCCAGCTTTGCAGCGGAATGTTATGGACGGAGAGGGGCGCGTACTAAGTTACACGGCGCAGTTATTTGGATTTTTCGAAATATTTTTCATTCCCGCATGATCCCATCCTACTGCAGGCGTACTCACTATTCACGGGTGAACTCTCCATGATCGTACTGATTCCACAGACCCCAGGGCCGACTGAAGAGTTTAATAGCATCGTATCAGCCACAAAGCTGGAAAAGACGAATGAAAAAGAACGTGTGTTGAACTCACATCGAGATCTAGCATACCATATCTTTGGGAGAGAATAACTTGGACGAGCCTCCTCTGGTCGTTAATCGCTGCCAAACTGCCTATCGGTCTAACTAGTAGAAAGGAGTTCTCACCCGGTAAAGAGCGATCATTAGTGCTCAAAAGAAGACGATGCGGTTCAACACCTATTCGACGCCCATTTCACTTTGTTCTTGAGTGGTACCGTAAATTCCGATCGCAAAGACCTAGAGAGGTTAACTTAATTGTTTGGAAGCCCGAATAAGCTGAATATTTTCCTCATAGCTTGAAAATGAGTTTTTCAAAATCGGCATTGAACATCCTTGTCTGTAGCTGTGTGCAACTAAATTACTCAGCTCTGTTAACGAACCAGATGACTGATTTTCAGGATGAGGCAGCCTTTAGGTGTGACCATCCGTTCATCACACTATTACTCAGATCGTTGCATCCATAGGCCCGATTTTTCGCGTTTATGGTTGTAAAATTAACGACAACCTGTCATGATAAATGTGGACTATTCTTCTGTGATATGGACACCTACTTGCTACACTGAGATGTAACTTTTCAACCAGATGCTTTGATTGTGAGTCTTCAGCTTCCTGTTTGGATTGAGGCATCCCGATAATGTCCAGTTTCGCATAAAACGATTAAGGCTGGGGGCTGTCACTGATGACTTTTGTGTTGCTGCCTAGAATCATAGATGTTCATCCTGGTTTGTTGTGGGAGTGACTCCGTTAGTGCAGGACTACCCTTAAACCGTTCCATTTGGCGTGGTGGTTCAATTATCCAATCCTGAAACGCCGTCAAGCGGGCTTTAACGTTTATCCGTCATTGTGGAATATGATCAAAGCATTTAAAGTCAGGCTGTGTACACCGTCTGGAGTCAAGCCTGTGCGCCTATTTAGGGTGTGTGATCGTTTTTTACCTATCCTCATCGATTTCTGATTTGGAATTTGCTCTACGTGGCTCTTCCTTAATATTAATTGATTTTCCGAGTGATAGCCTGGCTACGTTCATGATGAACATTGGCACTGTATCTATCTATCAGTTCTATATTATACCCCATTGTCTCTGGTCCGCGTAACCAATTCCGGCAAAATTGTGTTGCTACCTTCTGATGTTTTTTACTTGCCACCTTCTGTATCCGCGCTTTTTGGTCAGCTGTGAACGTGTGGATATAGCTGGTGAAACGTGGGACACCTGTGCAGCACGCTAAGCACGGAAGTCCAGCGCCCCAGTCATAAACATTCGAGTGGGGCCATAAATTCTTCGTTCCAGGAGTAAAAAATCAAGACTTGTCCATTTTATCGGACAGATCATCATTGGCCTATAAACGAGGCTAAGGTCTCTGACGTCAGCTTCTGTCCACGATAAGACAATAGGACATACTCATCAGAGACTACGTGTAGCGGCCAAGTTCTACCTAAGTACATGCTTTATTCATCCCGATGTACTTGCTGACTGCGTTCGACTTAACCTTGGAATTCACTTGAGCTCGAGATGGCTCAGTTGAGGAGCGAACTTACGGGCTGGAAGGTCGATGGTTCGAACCGAATCTTGATATTCCGACTGCTGTTGTCTGTGCTTGGACAACCTGGTAGGTCGTCAGTCCTCGTCCCTTCTTCGGGTGGCTTCGGAGCTAGGGTCTGAAAGGGTGCTACACCTGAACGACTATACACTGTTATTGTAATTTTTTCATTATTATTGCTATTATTATTACCGGAATGCCAGGTCAGCTTACTTCTTCTCAACTGCATGATGGTCACATCGCAAGACAGTTTTAGAAAGCGGAAACATAAGGACTCCGAAGGTATTTGACGGCTGTTTGGCCCATCAACTCGATATGTCCTGTATATATGAAAAGACAAATGCTCCCCGTTGAAGCTAGAGGTTGGATATAAGCTTGCTTTAAATTTTATCCAGAAACTCCAACATAGTAGTATCAACTGCACCCTTATTGCACCCTTATTGATGTTGGTTTTGATTTGGGTCCATCCTCCAATTAAGCAATACCTCGTAATAGAGGGCAGTTTGTGTTCTTTATATGGAGGAAGAACCTATATGCAAGCGAAGTATTGTTTATCGTGTTTATATGTTTGTCACAAACCTTTGAGTTGTGTGAGTAGCGTTTGTTTCTATTGTTTACTTTAAACCAGGCAGAACGGTACTGCCACATGCCGTGTCCCGTACACTGCATCAAGTGCCTACCACTCACTCCATAGCTTCTGATAATTTTTCAGATCACTGGGCGATTATGCATACAAGACTGCGAAGGGTTTAGGTCCGACAGAACAGCTGATTTCCCCGGAACCGGAAATTACCGTGCTCGATCGGGACAAGGTGATGGATCAAATCATTGTTCTCGCCTGTGATGGTATATGGGATGTGCTGAGCAGTGATGCACTCTGTTCCTTGCTACAACATCGAATGCGGTGTTCCGATGATTTGTCGGTTGTGTGCAATGAAATCATTGATATGTGTTTGTACAAAGTGAGTGCCGATTTACCGTTGACTCTCTGTCTGTTTACTACAAACCGTGTCCGCTGGTCATTTTTTAGTGCCAACTTGTGACTGTCCTGCGCACGAACTATGCAGTTTACTACATGTTTTCAGAGCTAGTGATGCTTGCCAATTTGGCGAGCAGCTGTTTCCAGGGTGATTCGTTGTTTGTGATTTAAAAGAGGGCAGCCCACATGCAATGGTTTGCCTTGTTCTTACGATATTAATCATACGCGTGCGCTTAAATGTGTCGTGCACTGCGATTGATCGCATGAACCGACGGATAGAACCTTAGTGACACAAAGGTTTTGCATACAGAACCCAAAAAAATGTCCGATTGGGCAAATTGGCTTTTAACCGAAGCTCTCTATATGAAATGAAGAGTTGGGTGTAGGACTCGCAATAACAGAAATTCGAATTAGTACAAAGGCTGCTAATATTTACAGATTCATGCATCTTTTCTGGCATATGATCTAAAGCTAATCGCCGTTTTTTTCACAGAAATGATACTGTCATTCATTCTTGTTTTTTCGAGCGATTACCTAGAAATCACAATCGTAGTGGGGATTCAAGGTGTACTAAAAAAAACTTGAGTTTAAAGCTTTAGCGCGGACGAAATACTCCCACCAAGATCGCCATTCTATGGTAGGAATGTAGCGACAGTACTGACTAGAAAAGCAACATCGACCGTCACAAACTGAGTTGTTCACTTTAAACACAAAGTGAAGTAGACCCAAAGATTACGAATTTGATTACGAACTTGCTTTTCTTTCCAAAATCTCCAATCCCTCAGGGCAACTTTTCATGATAGAAAGCCACTGTTTTCACGCAAGTCGCCGAGCAAAAAATCTTTTCCGAACTTCGTGTGCTTCAGGATGACCGTCTCTGTTTGAGTGTATTGCTAATTCCCAGTTTTGTTTCTCACTTACGGTTGTCCGGTACCACTATGTTAGATCAAGCTTTTTGCTACTTTTGATGCTGTTTTCCTATCGTGTTTGTTGCACCACAAACAGCAATATCTATCAGGCAAGATAGGCTCGGAGGGCCGTTTCTCCTCGTCATTTTCTTCACTTTTCCGGTACAATTATTTATTCCTTTGCATTCATTACATTACATTACTGCGGGTTGACGCAGTAAGTTTAGTCTACTTCTCCGGTGACAGACACTTGATATCCTAGCAACTGTCGTAAGAGGTCTTTTTGGGGGTGTAGTGCTTAGATGACAGCAATGCTTAGGCCAGTTCACAGCTACTCTCAATTGTGTAGCACACAGTGAACAATCCATCCAAATAGAACATAAGTTCGATGGAAACTTGGGGAATATAACCACGTGATGAGTCCCAATAAAGGTGAAACCGGTAGTGGGCTGTCGAAGATTTTTCGGCAATCTTATGAGTATCACGTTATGTCAAGGACGCCCATGCTGTAGTGTACCCATGTGTATGTTGTGATCTGATTTATGCGAAGAAAGCTCGCTTACTCGCGAAGTTTAGCACATCATAGTTAAAACTCATAAAGAACTATTGATTAAGTTTCACTAAGCCTATTGAACTAACTGTGACAATGCATTGATCAGGAAATGAACGGATACACAAATGGTACGGGTGCATTCGCACGTGCGATTGTGAAAAGTCGCATAGAGACCTTAGCAATGGCGACTACCACTTTCTAATTGAAGCTTTCACCGTAGCTTTTTTAAGTGAACCAGACAGCACCTTCTGGTTAATCACCGTGTGGGGCGAGAATACTGTAGTTCTGCACGCGTCCGCCATCCAAATCCACTGTGGCGCACATGGGTATTCCCTAGTTGTCGAACAGACTTCTCTTTGAGAAATCAGAGCTACCATTGTTAGGGTTGTCTTTCTGTGTCGTCGTTTCTTGTTTTACATTACGGTATTACATCCAGTCAGCGCTTCACTTAGCTCATAACCGTTGCGTCAGTTACCAACCATCCAGCTGCGCTTACGACCGCAAAAACTCAGTATATACAATTTGTTCTGACGAATCTCGCGTTGACTATCACTCGGACCGGCTTTTAATATACGAATTTTTTTGAGTCTGGTCGTTTGTTGTAGTTCGTAATTTGTTGCTATCTTTTCAAGAAGGCTTCAGCTGATAAGACTTTAGTAGGCGAAAACGAATTTGTTGTTTAACGATGTGTTCAAAATTTGTTCGAAATCTCAGCTCGTTTCTTTCTCCATCTGTTATAGGTGGCGACTAGTCATCCTGTCTTAACTTTGAACTGGGGTTGGTATATAAAACTAGAGGTGTGGTCATTGATCACTTTGATAGTGCTGACTGAATTCAGAGGCAATAGACTTGGGACCATTTTCGGATACCAGTGTTTACATTTCACTCTATGGAAATATGTGTACTTGAGGAAACTCGGATAGTACTTTTGCGGATAAGCCACGTGTTTTCTATCCACAATGACCACGAGTTGACGAAAAGTTCAATTCGAACTATAGTGCGGATAATGTTAGCCATGGACAGAATTCGCCTTCACAACACCAACTGGCATGTTCCACGTTTTAATCATGTTTTGACAGACTTACCTAAGTGGGCCTAGTGTGAACAGCTTCGATGAATATCCATTACATGCAGTATGGTTGGGGAGACTGAGTTTACGATCAATTCATTTACTATCAAGCAACTCTTAGCGCACTTTCTATAGTCCATAATGTTTAGGGATGTTATGTTCTGAGCACCGCTTTGCACAAGTGGAGCGTGTCATTTTGCCGTAGTGTAGACGATACGACGTTTTAGTTGAGAGCGGTAAGCGAGAAATGTGTTCGTCACAGTTGACTTTGATGCTGCTCCATTATAACCACATTTGTCGATTGTCAGATCTACCGGAATGCGGATTTATTATCCATGTTTTGGGTCATCCAGCGTCGTAAACCTTTACAACGGTCGACACTTTGAGGTCGTAATGCTGCCATACAAGGTCTGAGGTCAGGTTACTTTTAATGATTATGATTGTTGCTTGACGAGATTCGGGCAGATATAGCTTTAGCTCTCTGTGCTGCAGTTTATTCACTGGAATACGGATTCCCTAACTCCAAGAATGACTGTTAGGACGTCTCGTTTACCGGTTCTGGTGAATCTGCACCCGATACGGTTCCACGACCATTGCTGTAATCAGTTAATTTAAAGTTCTTTAAGGCACTGTGGATCCATGATCCTTCGTGCGCCCGCAACCTTCGTTTAAGAGGGCTCAATTTCCCCTGGTAAGACGCCGACAATTGTGGTATTTTAGACAGCCCGTGGACAATCATATCCCTTCGGCAAATTAAGTAAAACATTCGAAAGATGGAAGCTGGTAGGTTTGTGCATTTCGTACTGGCTCGCCGGTACCAAATTACTGACAACGTGGAAACGAAATTTTCGTAGTCTTTACAGAAGAGTTTAGTCACGTGGTTGCAGGGTAATCGGTGACAAAGTGAAAATACACACATGTCGAAGACAACCTAAAGGATACAGGGACTTTCTCTTGGACGTGGTGAACGTCATAACCTGTAGCGACCCGAGCGAATTCGAGCTATGATGGTTGAACAAAATGGTGAGCGCTGACATCATGTCGACTTTGTTCAGAAGGTGTTTATCATTTCCTGACTATAGTAGCTTGCCACCAAGCTTCCGACTTTCGGTTTGTTACCAGGTTCTGGACTCCTTTTTTCGGGCTTTGCCACACCCATCGGTCCTGCCTAGATAGCTTTCCTTGAAGTTAGCTGTGGGTGGGATTTAGCAGTGTGGATCTTCCAGTCAGTTTCGGGACCCGGGCCTGTACGTACTGACGTAGCGCCAAAGAGTATTTGATTTACCCTCTGTGAAAGCACTTTTTTCGTTACACTGTCACAGTTAGGTTTCGATCTCACTTCACTGTGTCGTTTAGTGGCCTGTCTTGGATATTCATTTCGTTCCAGAGTATTTGTGAGTATTACTGACCCAGCTTCAGTCACATGTGGTGTGAAGATCCGGCCTACTTATGAGATAAAAATTGAGAAATGACTACACCTGTAAACTCTTACGTCTTTATCACGCCTAGGTCTAGATACCGAAGAGTGTCATCAGTTTCTTCTTCTCTAGTTGCTGTAAGATTCGGTTAAGTTTTGTTGAGGCATTGGACGAACTTCATGGCTAGTGCCCTATCCTGGGAGATGATTAGTTTGTCATCGACAGGGCCCTTATACTATCCTGGCTTTGGTCACTTATTTGTATCTATATCGTAACCATAAAAACGTTTGCTAAAATTGAGCCTAGTGAACTACTCATTGCCATTTGGGTGAGTTCTGGAACATAAAGCTACCGTGTTCAGTGCACAGCAGAACCGAGTCTTTTAGAGCCTCTACTAGAGTGGCTAGTTAAACATTCAAGTCGCACGGGAAATCGGTGATTTCGTAAAGGGCTACATTGGTAAACATAGAGTGAGTACATATACTTGTCTGTGATATTTATCGTTTCCAGTTATACATCTAAGTCTAGTGAATCTTTTGTAACACATTTGTCAGTTTTCTAAATAATTGGCTCCAATACGTGAACCAATCGCTCTGTGTTGTAGATAGTGTGACAGTCTTTTTCTAAAGTCCTTAGAGCCCTGGTATTGTGCAACCGGTCGACTTCACATGCCTGTGGGCTTTGTGATCGGCCTGTTCAGGTTCTAGAAGCAGATCAAAATGAGAACACACTCGTTCTACACTGCTGATTGGTTCTTTCCTGTTAGTCACAAACTATGGGTGTGGTTAGAATCCGGCTTTGAAACAACGTTGTCACGGTACAGTTGTAGCTTATCTGTCTAGCGGATAACACGTTAGGATGTTGAGACACGTGCTTAACAACCCTGGACTCAGAATGAACCACATAAAGTAAACGTGTCCCGATGCTCATCGGATAAAAGATGTTTGTCACGAGGCATCGCGAGCTTTCTGTAGTGTTGGGCGGTGTGCATACTTTCTCCTATAACTGCAAGGGGTTTATATGTGTGTAGCTTTACTTATCTCTCAGGTTGTCTACTTGTAAGGCAACCATGCAGATATGGATCTATGGTGCGATCGAAGTTTTAAAGTTGCTTTCATGTGGGTAAAAGTAATATCTGACTGTCGTTGAAATACATCTAGATATTGGCTGTACAATGGTAACGTCAATCACTGTACCACACCTTCCAGTTTTGTCTACATGATTTCAGACTGACTACAATTTCAGCACACGACGTTGGTCGCCAAGTCCTCTTAGGTATTGCAGTTTTTGGCTAATCCAGTCAACTATTGCGACACCTGCGTTCTGTGACTCGTTACCTTTGACAGGTGCATCGAACTTTACCGGAAACACCTTACAAATATCCGCTGCTTCTGAGCAGGTTGTCCTGACCCAGGCACAAGAGCCTTGAACTGCTCTGTTGGAGACATTCACATTCACTCTTTATTCGCCCAACACAAGACACGATCTTCCCATCAATTTAATGGTCTACTTCAAGATAATTGAAGTTATGTCAATACTGAGATCGTTCTATGTATCCGCTAATGAATTTGATTGAAGTCGATTAAATTTCATTACAGTATCCCTTCACCATCATGGAGGCGGTCATATCGCCTCTCACTTCGGAATACTTCTGACTTGGACCCGAAACGAAGCCAGAATAAAATGACACCGCTGGAAGATCACGCCGAACAAAACGTAGTCACGGCCATTAGATGAATGTATCGTCAGTATTTGGGGAACACTACTGCGTTGTTGAAGACTGTTGGGGCATTTTGTACAGGTGGAAAAACCACCAACTGACCTCGTGCGGTTCTGGAACTAGGCGTTTCTGCCAGAGCCATTTTTTTCTTGACAGTTGAGTCCCCATCCCACTGTTTCTTGGAGTCTACCTTGTTACAAACTAGCTGCCAGACCAAACGATGACATACGTAGTCGTTCGACTCATCTGCGTCATAACACAGGTTCAACAAATAACCTAAGCTGCTGGCAAATAACCTTGTTTCACATTAATCCATTCCTCCTCATTCAGCGAGCGGAATGAAGGCTATATGGCGGATGTTTTGGTTCCCTATTTGTGGTACTCCTTGAAAGTAAAGCATTTTCAGGTGGACTGATCAGTCCTGGGAAAGCAGTCCACCAAGTTGCTGTAGCGAGGCTCTATCACCTTATGTTCATGTCCGAAATTTGGGAGCGACTCCGCGCATTCTCTGGTAGTCAAGTTCCAAACGCGTTGCAGCATACTAAACCAAACTCCGTTGCTGGGGTTTTCTCCAACCTACGGAATTGGTTTTCCGTGAAAATTAGCCAGCAACATATACCGTCTTTAATGCTGGTTCCTTATGAAACTGGAATGCTGAACCCCGGTTTCTTCGTGCTTTCGCCTGCCATATCCGTAAATGTTGAATCTTCGTTAGAATGGTGTGGTCTTTTGAACCCTATTTGTCTGCACCTTCAGCTAAGCTAAAGAAGTTTGGACCGTAACGTCTGTAATTTAGAGCTAGGCTGTAATAACCCTGAATATTTACTGATTTTCCTGCTGTTGCTGCTGCCGCTTTTTCTGTACTGGCTGGTCCTGCTACATGATCTTGACTGATCCGGTAGCGCACTTCAGCGTGTGTGCGTGTGTGAAAGAAAAATGTTCGGTTGATTGCGCATTTCAGTGTGTCAGAGCGAGAGCCGGACGGGCATACATCAATACCCAAACACACATTTATGTCTCATGGTTCGTTTGAAGGCATGAGTGGTGTCCATGTTCGTCACTCTACCAGAAAGAAATAAGTTTCGAAGATGCTGACGTTTATATTGCCTGCCTACGTGTTATTGGCATTGTAAATGCAGCCCGCTAAGTGAGGCCAACAAGGGAATGTTAGTTCTAATCAGTGTGGGTTGAAAGAAGCTCTTTATCCTGCTCAGTGGAACAATTTCGGACTGAAACAGATGTTAGACCGTGGTTCGCGGTACACTACAACTTCCTTTTAAAGTTTTGGCGTCCACAGTTTGTTGCGTACTTCAGCGGTACAACATGACATGTTATCGATTGATCGATGCCGAAAAGAGTATGGGTTCACCGTACACGGTCATCTTCCTCTCTAGAAGTTGCCCTGGTCATTAACGAATCCCCGCTCCTTCGTTTAGTGGTGCCTTGACTTTTTTTTCCACTTTTTTTTATGGTGCGGCTGCCCTGTTCAGTTTCCAATACCGCTTTTTCTTTAGTTAGAAACAAGCTGCAAACGGATGAGAGTTCTCATTGGATGATTTTCTCACATACTCTTATCAGCATGTTTCTCTGCGTCCAGATAACTGAAAGTCATGTTGTACTGCATAGCTTTAAGAGTGTCTCCGTCTACAGCATCCATACTCGAAGTCTTTGATCGGTCAATTGAGGTAGTTGCCAATAGAAGGCAGCTGTGTAAACGACCTCACAGTTGCTACCCTTCATGAAACGGAACCTGATTTGCGTCGTTCTTTTGTGAATTTGAGCGATCCATTTTGGTGTTACATTTGTCTTCCCTAACTCTTGGTCCCTGAAAAGGATATCTCATGTTTTGGTATCCCATTTTCACTTACCGTGATCTTCTTTCTGTTTACAGTTTTCCAACTTTAGTAGGTTGGTCACCGATTGTGTTTTGTACCCCCACAATTTGTGCTTTCGTTGTTAATTAGTGACTAACCTTCCCTTGTGTTCTTCGTGCATTCCAACCGATCAGGGTAGCTCTGATAACATGAGCATTGTTTTGGTCGCATTTGATCCATCTCCACGGGCGGAGGCCAAATACAAGAAGGAAGATGAGGAACTAGAACAACTCATTCTTCAACGTGCCAAAGGTATGTGGCAACACCACCTCGTAGACTTTGTTCGATTTCCTATCTTAACACTATATCAGTCGCCTTCCTTTATCTCCATCTTGTTCACTGATTCTTTTAATTCCTAGGCCTTACCTCCCAGAACCACTAGCTGAGATATCGTCTTTAGTTTTTACTGTCACATTGAGACATTCTATATCATGAGATGTTGACAGTAGTCATAGAGCTGTGCGGAGGTCTCAGTTGTACTTAGAGTTATAAAAATTGCATTTTTTTCATTATAGAGTATTTGCATGCAGCCAAACCCTTCATCAGTATCACCTCCAACGATTTTTAAGAAGGAGACGCAACACCATTGAGGGGTGTGATTTTCCGCAATTCAATTCAAAGTAATTCAAGGTTTAATGGTCTAAAAAGCAGTTAAGTTTACAACGACCGTAGGGCGAACGTATATATACAAAGGGACGCAAAAATATGCGTAATGTTTGCTGAGTATCACATGGAGTTAAACAGTTCCAGATTCGGTTTGGATATAAGATATGCATCTAAATTGTTCTTGAAAATGGTTAAACTCGGCGAATGTACAACATTGGGAGGTAGGGAGTTCCAAATGAAACATAC